GGATCTGGCTCCCCAGGTGGACACCAACCAGGACCGTCTTGTGACCCTGGAGGAGTTCTTGGCATCCACACAGAGGAAGGAGTTTGGGGACGCTGGGGAAGGATGGAAGGTAAGGACATGGGGACCCTCCGACCTTGATATTAGGTTCCAGTTCCAGCCTTCCCTTCAGCTCCTCTGGCTGTTTCCTGATCTCTTGGGGTCTCTGTCCCTCCTCCCACTTCCCTGATTTCCCCCACTTCCCATCTCTAGGCCCCTGTTCTTCCGGCTCTAGCCTTTTATCAAACACTTCACCTCCAGCCTGGTCGCTGGCGTATGTGCCAGCAGCACACACACACACGCACGCACGCACGCACGCACGCACGCACGCACGCACGCACGCACGCACGCACGCACGCACGCACTCCAGGCTCTCACCCTCCTCCCACCTCAGTGGGGCTGGGGTTGCCCCCTTCATCGTCTGTGTCCTGTGTCTTGCAGACAGTGGAAATGTATCCAGCCTACACAGAGGAGGAGCTGAGGCGATTTGAGGAAGAGCTTGCTGCCAGGGAGGCTGAGCTGAATGCCAAGGCCCAGCGCCTCAGCCAGGAGACCGAGGCCCTGGGGCGCTCCCAGGACCGCCTGGAGGCTCAGAAGAGAGAGCTGCAGCAGGTGACCGGCTGGAGAATCAGGGCCATTGTCTGATCTCCTAGGGCCTTTTTCTTTACCCAAAAGGATGGCTTCAGGGTGGGATGGCCTGTAGCTCCCATGTTAATAAGAGTAGATACATATATGCAGGTGGTAGCTTCCATCATTAGTAAGGGAGGTGGTAGCTTCCATCATTAGTAAGGGCAGGTGGTAGCTTCCATCATTAGTAAGGGCAGAGGATTTTCCATGCCTGACTGTGCTACTGCAGCCATTTTACATGAGGCCAGTGAAGGAGGTCAGGCCCAGGAGGAGAGGATAAGGGTTCAGTGTGGGAATGCCGAAGCCACAGCAGGAGAGAACTGAACGCTAACTGGTGTGAATCCCAGCTCAGTGGCAGAGGAACCAAGGCCATGGGGAAGAAAAGGGGCTGTGGCCCCTTGGCCATTGTGGGGGTCTGTCTGGGCCATCAGCTCCTGTCTGTGCACTTGCCCACCTCCTGCAGGCTGTTCTGCAGATGGAGCAGAGGAAGCAGCAGCAGCAGCAGCAGCAGCACGAACAGAAGGCTCCGCCCTCCAAGCCTGACGGGCAGCTGCAGTTCCGGGCAGACACAGGTACATTGGGTCTGAAGGGGGAAGACCAGGGCCCAGGCCCCAAATCAGAGTCAGAGGATTGATGACTATGACCCTGAGCCTGAGGGAGGAGGTGGACCTGGGCCGTGTGTTGAAGGAGCAGGCCTGGGAATCCTGTCTCCTGTGTTTAGGAAGTTCCTTGTTGTGGGGGACCAGCCCCCACACTTATTTACCCCTGGAACTCTTGAGGATTGGGGGATAAGAGACTTAGTTAGAAATAGAAGGAGAGTCGGGGGGTGGGGGGGGTGGGGGGGTGCACGCCTTTAATCCCAACACTCGGCGGGCAGAGCCAGGCGGATCTCTGTGAGTTCGAAGCCAGCCTGGGCTACAGAGCGAGATCCAGGACAGGCTCCAAAGCTACACAGAGAAACCCTGTCTCAGAAAACCAAGTAAATAAATATGAAAAAAGTAAAGAAATAGAGGGAGAGAAACAGAGAAAACAAGTGGGCCTGGATCCTTATCCAAACAGGCCTATAACTTTATTCCAAAGATCTATTTATAACAATGCCAAGGGGTGGAGCAAAAAGACCTCCCCCTTGCTAGTTAGACCCCTACAAACACCTGGTACCCAGGCCCGTGGTCCAGTCAACCTCCCATGCAGTCCTGCCGGGCACAGCCACTGGAGACCTGGTGGGCTCCCATACCATGTCTAACGGCATTCTCCTGTTTCCTCTGCAGATGATGCTCCTGTCCCAGCTCCAGCAGGTGACCAGAAAGATGTGGCTGCTTCTGAAAAGAAGGCCCCAGAACAGCCCCCCGAGCTCCCCCAGCTGGACACCCAGCACTTATGATCTCTCAGTGACCCCCCCAGCCCTCAAGCCCTACACAGAGCGACGGAAGCTGGATGAAGTGTCCTTGCGGCCTCTCTGGAGGCCTGAGCCTGCATGGCCTCCTGGGGAGGAGAACAGGGCTCCTTCCTTAGAGGCGCCTGTGTCTGCCCCCTCAGCTCTTCCAGCCTCCAGGTCCCGGTTCTTCCTTTCGTCTCCTGGCTTCTTTACTCTGTCAGGGACTCACTGCAGGAGCTGGAGCTGAGAGAGACCCTCACGTACCTGGAGTACATGCTCCAGGCCTGCCTTCCTGGTTTGCTCTTGGCTGTTCCAGGCTTAGCCACTTTGCATCCTGTGCCTAGTGTCACAGGGTCCCAGGAGCTTGGCTTGGTCCCTTTTACTCTCTGTCTTCTGTGGGGCCAGAGATCTCAGTTCCTTTCAGTGGCTGGAGGCTTGGGACATGGGGTGTCCTTCAAGTGAACGTCACCTTTGCCTGGACCCCAGGCTTCCATCGCCACCTCACCAGCCATACCCTGACCTCCTGGGCCCAACACCTCCCCCATGGCCCCAGAAGGTACCCAGATACGGCTGCACACCTAGCTGAGATTCCACCGCCCTCAGCCCCCATTGGGCACTCCTGAAAATTGGTTCACCCTGGCTTCATGCCACACTACGATGTCCTGCTCTATGCTCCAGTTCCATTCAAATATAGCCTGGCACAAATAAACATTAGCGTGTCTGTGTGTACATACTGCCCTCTTGGATGTCCCACCTACACGCTGCCACCTTGACTCCTCAGTGTCCTGTGGGCTCTAAGCCTCACTTCTGAGAGGTTTGTCGGGGTGCTCATGGCAGCCTTGCCTCAACATTGCTTCACTCTGCCTTGGGGACAGAAAACCCAAGCCCGAGCTTGAAAAAAAATTCCGTAGCTTAAATAATTAAAAAAATATATTAAGGGGCTGTGGATCAGTTGATATAATGCTTGCCTGGCAGGTGTGAGGCCGTGTGTCCCACAGGCCACTTCAATGGGGAATCTGAGTGAATGCCTGTAATCCTAGCCCTTGGGAGGTAGATCAGGAGTTCAGTGTCATCCTAAGCTGTACAACAAGTTGAAGGCCAGTCTGAGCTATATGAAGCCCTGTGTCCAAAGGGGGCGGGCACGGGTGTGTGTGTGTGTGTGTGTGTGTGTGTGTGTGTGTGTGTGTGTAGAAAGGCAGGCAGGTTGTGTACCTGTTTACTCTCGGCAGGCCGAGAGAGGCAGGCAGATTCCTGAGTTCAGGCAGCCAAGAGTCCACAGTGAGATCCTGTCCACAGAAACGGCTCAGTTGGAGAGGTGTTTCTGCAAGCCTGAGGAGCCGTGGATAAAACATAAAACATCTGTACTCCAGCAATGGGGAGGCAGAGACAGACAGGATAAAACATCTGTACTCCAGCAATGGGGAGGCAGAGACAGACAGGATAAA